ACGTAGCTTTTTTGAAAGCATCCGAGCTAAGGGATGAATGGAGAACCATGATCGCCGATGTCTGTCGCAGATCTGGCACTGGATGATGGTGATGATTTAATACAAATAACATTATTATCGTTCTTCCTATGTATTATTCAGATAGCATCATTATCTTTATATTTGATGAATTATACATATAATCTAGCACTTTTATGTTTATTTTTAATTATTGTTCAGATAGTATGATTATCTTTATTCTTATTTATGACACATATGTTCCATTGTTATAAACCGTAACCCTCCCCGTCTGGTTGTGCGAAGCAGGAGCCACTAGAGCAGATTATACACACACTTCTAGCGGATTATCCACACACTTCTAAATCCGGATTAACGACCATGGACCAGAGCTATATCTTTGTGTCCCCCCCTCCCCCCTCCACTCCCTCTGTAACAAAGTGAAGCCAGAGGGCTCGTGGCTCGTAAATACCAGGTGAAACTAGTACCCTGGACGCCGCTACTGGCGGGAGGAGCGTAATTACAACTCGTATTGTTGGACACACCACTGTCCAGGTTGGCATCTCGCTGCCACCCGCGCGAGAAGCGTAATTACCAACTGGACGCCACCAGCCAGGGCGGCCTCCCGTAGGACAGGGAACCTTAGAGTGGGGCGTATCTAGAACACCTTGCTGCCCCAAAATCCCTAATGTGTAAGATGAGGTAGAACGATATGTATATATGGAGGAGCGTCTCTTACGCGTTAATTGTAGACGTGGGAGAGTGCACAAAGATTTGGAGCGTTCAAAGCCCATACGTTCTTGGGAACTGGGGAAAGAAGATACAACCATCCAGAAGGTACCCATTGAAGTCTGGATGATCAAAGTGGGATCATTACGACGCTGCGGCCTTATATACCGAGGGTCCGAAGATTTAGCAGAGTCGAACGCAGATCAGATTTAGGAGAGACTAGCGTAGACTAGAGTACTGAGAGGACATAGAGGTAGGAGCTAGACCAGGTTAGGCGAAGGGTAGTGACAATATTCTTGTACACTGCTAGATAGTCGTCTGTTGGACAAATGTTATAACCAGTGTTTCAGGAAATAGTAGTTACCCTTCTGTAGATTATAGGTCCTCGAAGATAGTAGCATGTTTTGTAAACGTCATACATTTCATTGTTGTTGATGATTAAATATATTCAAAAATATTACAGCGTGAAGTTTTCTTGTCATCTTTGACATAACCTAAACGACCACGTGTCAGAGTGGTGGAACCAGTATAAGTACAACAACTCCTTTTTAATACTGTTACTGTTACTGTTACTGTGTTACATACCAAGCTCGATTTGGTGCCGTGACCAGGATCTCCGGTTTTGTTACGGAGTTTAGTTTAGCTGTAATTTAGAGTAGGAAGAACAGAGATTGCCTTGCAAAAAAGTCAGCTCTATGCCCATTTGCTGACCGTCCTGTTGCTGATCGAGGCCTGTTGCTGATCGTGGCCTGTTGCTGATTGTGGCCTGTTGCTGATCGTGGCCTGTTGCTGTCCTGTTGCTGATCGTGGCCTGTTGCTGATTATGGCCTGTTGCTGTCCTGTTACTGTCCTGTTCATGTCCTGTTGCTGATCGTGGCCTGTTGCTGTCCTGTTGCTGATCGTGGCCTGTTGCTGATCGTGGCCTGTTGCTGTCCTGTTGCTGATCGTGGCCTGTTGCTGATCGTGGCCTGTTGCTGTCCTGTTACTGCCCTGTTGCTGTCCTGTTGCTGATCGTGGCCTGTTGCTGTCCTGTTACTGCCCTGTTGCTGTCCTGCTGCTGATCGTGGCCTGTTGCTGATCGTGGCCCGTTGCTGTCCTGTTACTGTCCTGTTGCTGATCGTGGCCTGTTGCTGATCGTGGCCTGTTGCTGTCCTGTTACTGTCCTGTTGCTGTCCTGTTGCTGATCGTGGCCTGTTGCTGTCCTGTTGCTGATCGTGGCCTGTTGCTGTCCTGTTGCTGATCGTGGCCTGTTGCTGTCCTGTTGCTGATCGTGGCCTGTTGCTGATCGTGGCCTGTTGCTGTCCTGTTGCTGATTGTGGCCTGTTGCTGGCCTGTTGCTGGCCTGTTGCTGACGAAGACAACTTGACGCCATGATTGCTGAACCGCCCGGGGACATCTCCAGCTGATCTACGTCGAGAAAACAATAAGTCTGACCGTTCTATTCCTGCCTTATTTTGAGCTTTGCGTAGTCAAATTAATCCCGTCCTGTGTATTGTTGCATTGAATCATGGCAGCCCCTGACCCCCAAGCTTTACCTGACCCCATGCTAAATAATGTCCCAAACCCCAACCCTGAGGCCCCTCAAGACATGACAGCTCAGCTAAGTTCAACTATAGGGAAGGGTAAAATAAAAACAACAAACAGACAAACAAACAAACAAACAAACAAACCAACAACCTAATGGAAACTTTCTCCGGCGGAAAAGCTAGAGGAAAGGACGTAATTATTCGTGAATGCCACGACCAAAATAGAACAGCGAAAAGGCAAAACACGATGAAAGAGAAAAAGAGAATAGCCTGGCAGCCCCGGTAACAACTGTTAGGGACAAAGACAAAAACATAAGGGCCTTATTACAGGCGATTGCTGGTGTTGTTGATCAAGTCTTTAGGTACAGGAAGAAGAGGGGGCGTTGTCAACTGACAGGTGACTTTTTACTCGTCCGCTCAGATGGGGGAATCCTTGTAAGTGAGTCCAGTAAAAACTACCACCAATGCTACTCCACCCAGTGTATCCAAGTATATTGCTTCTCTTCCACAACTCTGCACTGTTTCAGTTGACCCTTACGTCTCCACATTCATTTAGATATAGTTGTTTCCTGATAAAGCAACATTTGTCCCTTCCCTTGCTCGTCTCAATCTGTGTTGCACCAAAATGTAAGAACCCCTCCTTTACCAAACAGCCGACTTTCCCCCATCTGACCCCCTCCCTGGCCGAGCAGCCGACTTTCCCCCATCTGACCCCCTCCCTGACCAAA